TTAGTTTCCAAAGTGAATCTCGGCAAGCGGTTCTTTGAGGACGAATCAAACTTAAGTGAAATTTGTTTTTATGGTTGGCTCTGCGATCATTCAATAATAAATTTGGAATAGAAAATATGGGCAAATAAAATATTACGACCAGAGATATGAGTTAAGTACTTTTTTTTGGAACAACAGAAACTGACAAATAACACGCAAACCCATGAAAATGAGGCAACATTCACAACCATGCTGAATATATGTCTGGGCGGAAGAAGCATCTTGAGCGGCTGCACAAACTGCAATTGTTACGTTATTGTTGACTTATTAGTGATTGGTCGTTGTTACGGAATAAACAAGAAATAGAAGCTTCAGATCCCACTCCCATGCCCACCACTACAGAGTGAGATAAATTGAATGCGCAATGATGAAACCTGAAATATTTCGGTTTGTCAAACTCATTAAAGGCTGCTTTCACAAAGCCTCATTCTGAGTGTAAAGCGAGTAATATTGTCGCATAATACAGCAACGTCCAAAACATTTGGGTGTCGCTTCTCGATAACCAGTTTGGTTCCCTGCGACTTTCCTTCCCCTGTGAAACTGTGTAAATTGTTTTTTTTTTGTCATAATTTATGATTGTGATATTTTTTACTGATTGGAAAAAATAAACATGACTGGACATTTCTAAATTATGGCATATTAGGGATGGACAATATAGAATAATTTACTATTCTAGAATAGTTAAATCGAATCCAGATTACCGAATCCTATTATATTTTTATATTTATTCATCTGACATTGTAGAATAGCTATCCAACTTGACCAAAATCAGCAGTGCGGAGTGTTATCAGAGAATAGAAGAAAAATGGCAAAAATATGCGCCGCTAAGAAAATAAAAACATTTTCACGCCGCCTCAAGTAATTTGTGAAACTGCAAAGAATATTATTGTATTGTTTTCTCTTGCCTGTTTCTCTAATAAAAGCCTTTATACACTCACTATTACCCCAAATAATATAAGTTAATTACTAAGATATCACTCAGTTCAACGATTTACCAATTGTGCTAAGCACTGTGAAAAAGGGTCGAAGCTGTGATGTCTTGTTGGAGCTGGAGCCAAGCCTATGAGTTTAGCTGAAAGCGAAGCTTCCAGGAAATTTAGTGACTCAAGCTCATGACCAATTAATTATTTTTCACATTCATAAATTTCTTAAAAACTTTATACGAATGATAAAATCCATTATTTATCAGTTTTATTTTTTCAACAGTTAATTTCTGATATTATTTCACAATTTCAGAATTGAATTTGTATAATTAAAGTTTCCATATAATATTCACTTAATTTAGAAAATTATTTTAATAAGCGTTGGTTATAACTGTATAGATATAGATATTTCCGAAAAATTGTTCATATACTTTAGTATTGCAAAATTTGTGATGCATAATTGGGGATTGTTTTGGAGATATGGCGCTTACAAACTGGTTTAGAGAAAATCTACGATAGACTGGGATTAAATTAGCTGACAACCTGTTAGCGGCATGGATGGCTCTAAACAGGTTGTTAGCTAATTTATGCCCAGTCTATCGTAGATTTTCTGGGAATAATTTTTATTGGAGCGCGTAGGAAGTTATAAGACATTTAAGATATTCAATAAACAACTTATTTATGAAAAAATTGTTACGTTATTGTTGACCTTTTAGTGATTGGTCACTGTTCCTGAAATAAACAAGAAAATCGAAGCTCGGGAAAAATATCCATTACATCACAGATTAAAATTTTCAGATTCCATTCCTATGCCCTCCACCTCATGGTTTGTTAAATAGTGTGGGCAATGCTGAACCTGAAATATTTCAGTTTGTCAAACTCATCAATGGCTGCTTGTACAGAGTTTTGTTACGAGTGTAAAGCATGTGATAATCGTATAATACAGCAATCTCCAAAACATTTGGGTGTCGCTGCTCGATAACCAGTTTGGTTCGTCGCGACTTCTCTTCCTAGTAAGTGAATTATTTTTTTGTCGTAATTTATGATTGTGATATTTTTTACTGGTTGAAAAAAAAAATTGACTTGACATTTCTAAATTATGGCAAATATATGTTCAGGTATGTGAACTGGTTTTACCTTTGCATTACTAGTGTTTTCCTTGAATGCTCTTATTTCTTCTGCTGTCAGATTGCAATAGCATCAATTCTTCACCTGACATTTTGAAACAACTAATCCAACTTCACCAAAGCCAGAAGTGCCAAGATTATTGTTCCAACTGATATCTAGTATTTCCAACTGAAATAAATAAGATCAGTGAACTAATGTAGATGAACTCGGTCACAAAATGTGATCATGACAGTGAATAAAAGTATGAGAAATGGAGAAAGCAAACTTTAAAAACTGATTGATCAAAATGGACAAATTTTTATTAAAATTAACAGATGGCTGATTCAAAATCTGATAGCTGATTGAAAAAAATCAAGTTAATTAGACATATATACTGCAAGACATATATACTGCAGGAAAAGTTTCTTAATAATTAAGATTTTTCAATTAGCAGAGACAATTTTATTAAGTTCTATTGCAATGATATTCACCTACAAAAGAGAAAAGAGGATATTTGCCTTTTTTAAGAGGCGTTTTGTTTATGCTGACTTATATATACAGTTGTTATTGCAGTGGGCAATAGAAATAGATTGCTTTACTACAGAAACCTCCGCATCATTCAGATATAAAAGCAGTGCTGTCATTGCATGGATAAAACATAGAATAGTTGTTCCCAACCTTTCAACCCTGTGGACTGGCAACACGAAATAATTTGGCTCATGGACCGGCAATCAAATTTTCGAAATGAATGAAAAAGCTGACTTGTTTTGATCAAAATATTTTTAGTAGTTTTAAAACTATTTTTTAATTAGTGTTACAAGTTAAATAATATTCGTGTATTTAAATGCTTCTGCTGACTTGGTATCTCGCGTAAGTTACTTTGACAACCCCTCAAATAATATTGAAAATCCCATTTATGCCTAAAGCAGACAAAAGCTCGCTAGTAAATAATGTTAATAATCTTTCAAGATGTATTTGTAATAGAGTACTGCGAATTATGAGAGATCTGTTATGAATATCACTTAGATATACAAGCATGGTAAGATAAGTTTATTTCAACTCCATAATCAGCATAAAAGGCGATTAAATGATTGATAAAAACAAATAACAAAAACTGATTATAAAATCAGGAGAGCAAATAAAAGCTTAGATAAGGTTTATAAAGTACAGAATTTAAGATGGAAGAAGGTATTGCCAAAAAGTACTGGTATGTGTTCACTCATCTTAATTTATTGAATATATCCACACACACGCACACAACCGTAAGGCTGTAATGAAGTTAGAAAAAAAAGCTTTAGATGAATTTTATAGTAAACAAACAAAAAAATAAATGAGTAAAAAAGAAATTGGAAATAAGAATTTAAAAAAAAATATGAATTGTTTGCCTTTGTCCAACCAAAGTTGGTGCATGAAGAGATGGGCTTCATTCACCCATGAAGAGCCTAAATATTGCCAAGTTGTAGTCCAGATTACACCAATTATTAAATGCTAAAGGTAACAGTTTAAGTAAAATATAATTATGTTAGGGTATTGATACTGAGGTAGGTATTGGAATATATTGGTTATTAAGGAGAGTGAGCAAGGATAAAGGAATTCAGGACGTTTTCATTAGAATCCTTTGAGATTAACATGGAAGATTTATCACGGAAGATGATTGTTCTTTGCGTGAATCTAGAAGTTTCTGATAAAATAGAATTTGACGCTTTTTTCGCAATTGGTATCTGGTTTTTGGTAATCCTACTCACAAATATTAAAAAGTCAAACCACGTTTTCTTTTATTGAATTGTTAAATTTATCTAGGGCTCATCACAAGAATACCCTAAGGCAATGGTTTTTAAAGGAGCTGTGCCTCCTTTTTAGAATTTGTCAAGTCTTGCGCCCTACATCAAAAATAAATAGCTAAAAATAAGCTACAAATAATAGTAAGGCGAAAGTATGTTTAATTCGAAAAATACTTTGAAAATATTGGATTGGATATAAATATTTTTATTTTTAATTATCTTAACACCCCCTCAAAAATTGTTTAATGTATTCTGAATAGACAATGGTTTGGGGTTGACCTTCACTGGATATCAATTGCCTGAATTCACATACACTCTGTACAATAAAGTGAGATCCAAGGTTTATCAACAAATGTTTACAACATATTTAATGAATTAGGCAATTATTTCGTTATCATATTCCAAGTCTCAATGAATATGTTACACACCTTTCCACAGACTTTCCATTTACTCAATTCCAATATTTGATCTTTAGTTGCTTTGAACTCTTTCCATGGGTCCATCAGAAGTTCTTTGACCTCACTTTCACTTGCAAACTTGGATATTGCAAGACATAGATTGAATGTCATGCCGGTTATGGATCGGATATCCAGAGTGGAAATCTATTAAAACGAATAGGATTATAGGGAGGAAATTCTGAAAATCGATGAAAATAAAAGATAAAACTTCATATCAATGTCAGCAATCTGTGGAACACTATGACTCTCGTCAAAATAAATCTAAAATGACAAACTTTGTCACAGGTCCGTGTTTATATTCAAGATTTCATATAATATTTCTAACTAAATGGTGAAATTTTCAATAAATGTTAGCAAGCAATATTAAAAGTGACATACTCTAATACAATTTATTAGTCTATTAGTTACACCGTCGAGCTTCAGCGGGTCAAAGACATAGCCAGCGATAAGAGGCTATTTTTTCTATCAAAAAGAGTGTGTGACATGCTTGGGTTATTGCTAGGTTTTTGCGCAGATTTTTTCATGAACAGCACTTAACAAATAATACAAATGAAAATATTTGCTTCTCACTCCAAATACTATAAATAAAAAGTGAAATAGTGGAAAAAAAGATCAATTTTATCTTCTCTACATCGCAACCTAGTTTGGCAGAAATGCTGAATGATAGATCAACCAGCAATAAATAACAAAACCTTTAATCCTGAGTGACTTCCAAGAGCGTCCAGTTTTTCTTTTGTGAGTTGGCAATTTTGTATGACAAGGTCAATAACCTCATTATTTGCTATCAATAAAGAACCGAGAGCATTGAATCCTTTTTCATCCATTGGGTTCTCACTGATATCAAACTTGGATAGCTGAAAACATAGAAATGAAAGTTAACTAACAATAAGATTACATATCTGAATTTTCTTTAACACTTTCGATGCCAAGGACGTATATATACGTCATTTGGCGCCAACCGTTCCGTGCCATCAATGCAAAATGACGTATATATACGTCATTCGAAAAGGAAAAAGTTTAATAGATAGAAGAAGGTCGAGTTCAGGTATTTGCCGTCTTTTTTCTTCTCTCTCTCTCTCTTGTTGTCAAGTTGGGGGGAAAGAATGACGTCGTCAGCCAATCGCGTCATTCAAGAAATACCAAGATGGAAGGAGGGTCTGCCATGAAGTAAATTATCACTTATTTAGCATTGGCCGAGGTACATATTAGCCGCAAATTATCATCAAAAATTTGTACGAGACCGACTGACGCCAACACACGGTTTCAACTTTTTACGGTGAAATGATTGAAAGGTGTGAGGAGAGATGATAATATTATCAATCATGTTACGAAGATGTAGAAAAACATTACTAAACCGGAAATAATTCGAATATTTTTATATGCATGATCGTCGTCTTATTGGCAGGACGATGAAATGATTCAAAATGTTGGTATTTTTGAACGTTTTTTTAATTTTTTATCATTTTTGGGTAACGGATTGACGGACATCTGCAACGAAAGCAAATTTTATCGTCCTGAGAGGTGATATGTTACATTTTGAAATAATAAAGTGAGAAATTGATATTATTCGGAACATATATTTTTCTACTTGTCAGTGAGATATGATCCGAGATATAGTAATTTAGTGGGAAATATATTACCAATAACACAGAGCCCCTCGTATGCTTTCAGCTCATATTGAATTACTTCCGTAGCTATTGTATAACCATAATTATAGCAAAATATGCAATCCTACGACTTTGTGTCGGATGAACAAGTTCAATAAGCAGCCATGGCGTACTGATTACGTAGCTACGCAATAGCGATCACGTGTCTGGCGCCACGAAGACGGGACTACGTGCAGTCGAGACGACTTGCGTAGCAAATTGCGTGAGATGACAATTTCGGAAAATCGTGTTCTTGACAGATCAACTGACGAATTTCGATGAAGCTTTAAACCTTTTTATTATGTCAACTTAGAGACACCGGATGCGTATAATGAATATTGAAATTGCATTTGGAAATACTTCATTTGCACGCCAATATTAGTTCAAATATCACACAAATAAGTATTTGCTCGCTATAAATACCAGATTGAATGAAATGTTTGCCGAGGCAAGTAAAGACTTCGAATTTCATCGTTTACTGACTGAACCCACGAATCGTTTACTGACTGAACCGATGAAACCATGATTGCATATAAAGGAAGAGTTTCATTCAGAAGATATATGCCAAACAAACCGGTTAAATGGGGCATCATTGCTAGATCGATTGCTGATTCAACAACTGGATACATTTTCAATGTAAAAATAGATTATGGTAATCCAAACTTGGAACAACTTCCACCCGGCGTCACAAAAACTTCGAATTTAGTTTTGCAACTAATGGAAAGTCATCTGGATAGAGGATATCACGTATTTGTTGATTATTCGGTATTGATAAGACAAATTAGATAATTTACGTCTCGGCGCCATACTGCGTTCTATTTTAGATAACGAATCATTGTCGGATATATCAATCAATTGCATAAACTGTTTTATCACAACCAATTTTTAATAATATTCATTTTTAATTTAGACTCTATAACTCTGTCGCATTAGCCGAGGAATTGCAGCGAAGGAAAACATCGATAACGGGAACAGTCACGGCAAACCGGAAGGGACTTCCAGCAGAAATAAAAACAAAACTAAAGAAAGGGGAAATCATCTCAATACGAAAAGGACAATTACTCGCACTACTATGGCAAGATAAGAGGCCGATTTCAATACTTTCGACGTATTGTAATGGTGACGAGGTCATAGAGATACATATGTGTTACAGTTGTATGAATATGCAATGTGACTACTTTGTTTATTTTGCAATATGTTATCCTTGTGAGTGACAATAATTGGCCATTATTAATGTTATTGGAATATATAGCGAATGAAGGATATATTTTTATGCTAGTAAACGATTTTGTTTTCTTTGTTCAAATTTGATATTTTCGTATAATAAAATGATTCTGATTGCTGAATAAAATGTTCGAATTGAATCTTTATCGCAATGAGAGATCAAGACAAGTTATCATCAACTTAATGTTATAATAGCATGAGAGAGCAATTCCGACAAGATACGCGTGTGTAGGTTGAGTTCTTTCACCTACGACTGAAGTGTCGGAATGAAACGATAACTGATGACACCGCTGGGGGTTCGCCCCTTTCCCGATGAATCAAAAACTAAATACGAGAGAGAATGAATAGGAGAGAACTCTCTCGTTTTCACCTTGGCACGGAACGGTAAAATTGAAAAAACTGATCTTGGCATCGAAAGTGTTAAAAATTGTGACAGATACGATTGATAAAAACCAACATCAAAAGTTTACATTATTTTAAGCAAGCAAATTCTCATCATATGTTTTCACAGTGTTACTTTGGTATGTTTAAACTGGGCGTAAATATAGTGTATCAATTAGTTCGAATAAAAATGAAGATAAGATAATATCTTGCATCTGTGTTAAGTTTATGTTTACATTCCTACTTAATATATTACTGAAGATATAAAATATTTTTGCTCGACCTGCTGATGATGACTTATGTTACACGACTCTGTTACTGTCATGCGAAGGGAGCATGAATAATAGGTATTAGGTCAGAAAACTAGGATTGTCAATGTAGCCCATCGAGCTAAGTGTTAGAAGTACGCTTGTCGCCACATCTCTGATTACACTGCGTGGTTCGCAGGATTGAATTTGTGACGAAAAATTATGTGTGAAAGGATTACTGGACTCTTTGCCACAGTAGGGTGGTTCAGGTAACCGCGGGTCAGTTGGGGCTTCCTCCACCATCAAGTTCCATGCGTCTGAAACAAATAACTAACCAATCCCAAAACCGACATGAACTGGTAATCTGATTAGAGTCCGTGGTCCGCCATATGATTAGGCCGCTTCAGTTGGTCTTCCCTCTCCCAGGAAAAAGATGCAATTTCCTATCCTATTGCTGACAACATAATATTGTGTACCAGGTTAGGGTTCAGGTTGTGCGCCATTTTGGTGGTACATACTTCTGAGGGTCCCTATATAGACCTAAAATTTACCTATATACTACGTAAAATTAATTCTGGTGTATGTATTATTCTTTTTTTATCAAAAGTTTGTTTCAAAAATGTTTTTGGATGGTTAAATATAAAAATTTTGTAATAAATACAGTAAATTACAATAATAGTGAAATGCAAGAAATTAATATGAAATTGGCATTTAAAATTTGAGGGAAATACCAAATCTTTATTCGGCCAGTTGAATTACATGACAATAAATGTCACAAACTACACCGATTTAAAAATAATGCTTGGCGTATACAGGTATAAAAATATATCAAAAACTGTTTGCGACCCTCTGCACGATTCCCAAAATGCAATGGGGCCCTCGAAAACCCACAAGTTTGACACCCCTGATCTATATCATACCTTCAATCCAGAATGACTCCCAAAAGCATCAAGTTTGATTTTTGTTAATTGGCAATTCCGCATGATGAGCTCATCAAACTCCAATACTATTTGAAAGTGAACCAAGCACATTAAAAGCCTCTTTATTCATTGAATTCAGACTGACATCCAACTTTGGAATCTAATATTGGGAAATTACATAAAAATTAAGGGTTAAACTATGTAAACGACCACTTAGTAGTGAACGTAGAATTTGAATCACTAAGTGCAAAAAAATGGTACAACTCAAATTTGTAAGCTTTTGATTAAGCTTATTTCCAACTTGCGATATCACCAAGCCATATCTTCATATATTTATTTCTTGAAGCTAAAATAGGTAGTAGAATTAAAAAGATTCAATCTATGGTAAACCTAAAATAAATATATGGTTGTTTAATGTAAATTTTTTTAAATTAAAATAAAACGATGACATTAGTAGATAATTTTTCTATGATCTAGATCGGTTGCTTATCAACTTTTTCAATATCACGGCCCACTTTCACAAATAATTTTACTTTGCGGACCACCTTTATTTACGTTTTTTTCCAGTGGTTAAAATAAGCCGAGGCAGGGTTGTCCAAAACAAATCGGGTATTCGAATATATTTGAATATCGAAGCATTCGAACCATTTAGGCAAATTTTCAAATAATTCCGAATGATAGCCTTTTTTGCCGTCAGCTAGGTGTTTCATTTTCGAGGGAAGTCATTCAACGATTTTCTGCATTTTTTAACGTATTGTATTGACAATGAAACAGAATCAGCATTTTGATTGTTTTTAATATTCTGTGCATGTGTGCACCGCATCGCGGGCCACCATGAGATGCTTGACGGTTGAGAAGCCTGATCTATATATCTTCCTAAATTATGACATGCAGGCGTGCAGTCACCTTTTTCAGCGTATAATGATTTTTCTGTCATGAAAAATATTCAATCCATGACAACTACAAGAATCCAAAATATCCCTATATATTAATTGAATTGTGTCTAATGTAACTTGAGGTTGCGTCTTCTTACGTCAAAATAAAAACATTACTACTTTAAAACACCACCGCGATCTGTGGACATAAAAAGCATGAGATAAACTGCCCATTTGTATTTAGTATTGATACGTTTTTTTGCGTCGTTATCTACGTTTTAAAAATCTCAAGATCTGATATAAAATCCAGAAAAGTACAATTTAATTTCGTACATGAAAAATTACATATAAATTTCAGCAGTAAATCAAAAATACATATTTATCGCCTCGAAATCCACGCGGACCAGTCGCCTCGAATACAGCACTTGTTAAAAGAACCGATTTTTTCAACGAATAATGATTTTTCTTTTGTGCAAAGTAATCGAACCATGACTGATACGGGCTTGTTTGAATTGTCTTGCTTTATCAGTTAAAATGTCTTCAATTTCACCTTGCGGTTTTGGTAACAATATTATCATCAACGCCGAACCAACATAATTTTGTGATTTTCAACGCCTAGAGAAGCATTTCAGATTGTCGCGGGCCTCCTACAACAGAACTTGTTGTTTACGTTCCTATTTTCAGTAATTTATATTGTCGCTTTTCAATCAAATAATTTGCTTCATAGATTCACCACTTCATTTGCCTTGTTGCCGATAAACGTATTGTAACTCTCACCAGATTCACAATTCTGTGCGAGTACAAAAATTAGGTGATTATCATCGTTATTATGGCACAATTTTGAGGATGATTTGTGTTTTAGAGAGAATAAACACCAACGTTAAAAGCGTTTATCGCGGAATAATATGTGATGTACAAAAACAATCGACGAATTTAGCAAAATGCAATTGCATGCGTTATTGGCGACTTTTTCAGTTTTTCAAAAACTTGAAAAAGTGTGGTTTATTTTCCTTTATTTACTTGGCAATTCTGCATGAAAAGAGGCAAGAACTTTATTATTTGTTGTTAAAACGGAACAAAGAGCATTGAAGCCTTTGTCATTCATTGGGTTTTCACTGATATCAAACCTGGATAACTGAAACATAGATAAATAAATGAATTTCAAATATCAATGAGATTACATATCTAAATCCTATCCAGAAGTTTTGGAACAGATACCGGCTTCTGGCTCATCAAGAAAAGTAGTTTCTTGCTTAAAAGTGGTTATTTGTATTATATTAATTATAATATGTTATTATTATTTCCTAATAATTTGGACTTGCAACAATTTATTGGGCATCATAACAATTACGGATTTTCATAATTAAAATGAAAACGAATGTGTCAATTAGAAGAGGCCTTGTAAGGGAATAGAGGCAATACCAATCTCGCGACTGTGCAAAGGTGTCACAACAATATGAGGCGCTAGCTCGCACAGAAGATAAACAAAGTTCCGATTCTATTTCATGGTCATTACAATATGTGACAAAGCGCGGAAAATCGTTTGAAGATTTTTCCCAAAAACAAAACTAATATGCCCATGACCAACATAGATTGCTGACCGACTAGACACCATGGTTCGCCAAATGGCTCCCAAAAGCATCAAGTTTGGTTTTTGTTAATTGGCAATTCCGCATGATGAGCTCATCAACTCCAACACTACTTGAAAGTGAACCAAGGGCACTGAAAGCTTCTTCATTTATAGAATTATGATTGACATCCAACTTTGAAATCTAATATTGGGGATTTACAAAAAAAATTGAGGGCGGTGAACAACTTTGCAGACAACCACTTGGTAGTGAACTCAGAGCTTGAAACCATCTAGTTTGAGAAAATTGTTACAACCTATATTGGTTGGCTTTGAATTTAGACAAGTACTAACTTGCAATATCACCAAGTCGTCAGATATCTATGCATTTTATCCTTTTTCAAACTATCGACAAAATAAGCAAAAGAATTAAATAGACTGATCTATATTAAACCTCAGATATGTTTATGTTTGTTTAGTGTAAATGTTTCAAATTTGTAAAAAACAATGACATTAGTATATTTCCTAGAGTATATTTCTATGATCTACATCATCTTTTGAGCTCGCCGCTCCTTATTATATTAAAATTTTTCGCGGCCCTTGTCCACGTTAATAATGCTAAACAGTTTGAAATATGCATTTTTGATGTTTTATTGGCACAGCTAATTCTCAACTTTCAATAGTCCCACTCAATAACAAAAAAAAGCACATAATTATTCAGGTTAACGTTACTTAATTATTCAGTGTAATGGGGGCGAATGCTTTTTGCTGCATGGCAAGTCCAGCCTTGGCTCAATGTATGTTTATGCAGGCTTAAAAGATGAATTGCGATGTCTGGCCACCGACGACATATATATATGTAAAATTGGTCTAAAATTGATCTAGATATCTACCCTGAATCGTAACAGGCATTAGCAGAAATGCTGAATAGCAAACCATTTCAAATATACTTTGCAGATTATGCAGACAATAATATATCAAACAGCAATAAAACACGAAACCTGTAATCCTGAGTGACTTCCAAGAGCATCTAGTTTTTCTTTATTCAGTCGGCAATTTTGCATGACAAGTTCAAGAACTTTTATATTCGTTGTTAAAGCGGAACCAAGAGCATTGAAGCTTTTTTTATCCATTGGGTTTTCACTGATGTCAAACCTGGATAACTGAAAAACAGAGAAATAAATGGATTTTGAGTATCAATAAGTAGGGCTGTCCAAAATCGAATAATTTTTTGATTCCAATCTAATCGAATTTTCGCCGAATCGAACCGAATAATCGAATATTATTGCACAATCCTAAATCTGTCTCTATTATACAATAAACGACTGCCCTGCAATGGTGTGGTAAGGTATGTGCAGTTACCTCTGACTTACTGCTGGTATTTTGCAATACCATGTTTTCAGATTTATGAAAGGAGATCACACGCTTGTATGAACTGATCAAAAAAATTGGAGGACTCCAAAATTAGGGTTTCGAAAACTGTAGAGTGTTAAGAGTAAAAATTGCACTTTCAATTCTAATGGATTAAGTTTTAATTGGGCATGTAAAAGCTGTAGATGCTAATTTAATCCTATTATCATTATTCTTATGTTTTTTTGTGTAATTTCCAACCAAATGATAACATTCATTAATATAGATAAAACTGTTGCTCAAATTCAAAATTGCATTTAACAAATTCAAAGCTAGTTTGATGGTAATATTATTTGGTACAATGGACATCAAAATGATGCCAGTGTGCAATTATTTTTTTATCTTGGTAAATAGATGGATAACACAGTATTTCCATCATAAGAAATTATAAATTCCATTGAAAGAAAGAATTGCCATCATAAGGATCCCACAATACCTGCTTCAGCTTTGAGTTGCCTGTACCATGTTCTTATGATAACTAACTCATTAGCTTCAAATCGGTTCTATTTATAGAACTATCGTTTTCTAAAGATAACAAATTGCCTTTTTCTCCTTGTTCTCTCTCAAAAACGTCATGACCGATTATAACTTATAAGTTATCATGACCATGCATGAAATGGCTTGTCACGTGCCACTGGCATCAGGAATGACATGTTTATCTCAAAATGAAGGCGAAAGAAATATGGGGAAACCAATTATGACAGGAGCGAGAGTGGTCCAAGCTTGAAGCGCCGCCACGTCCCTGACGAAAAACGTCCTGCAAAGGTGGTTTCAAGCCTTTTCCGCTTTATGTACCTAATATTAGCGATTCGAAAATTAGCCGAAAAACGATTTGAATAATTTGCGATTCGATTCGATTTCGAATATTTGGTTCGCTTGGACAGCCCTATCAATAAGATTACATATCTAATTCTTATCCAAGAGTTTTGTAACAGATATGACTGATAAACCCTGGCTAATCAAGAAAGGCAGTTTCTTGTACAAAAGTGGTAGTTTGTATCGACCCTAGTCTAGTGGTTCTCAAAAGTGGGGTGCATAAAATTTTTTGAGGGGGTGTAAAGCTAATTAAAAATGAAAATATTTGTTAAATTCGATCTTGCACCCCTTTTTTTGGATATTTAGATCTTCGATTTTAGATATTACCGCAAAAAGAAGACTTTACTATCCGAATCTACCAATATCAAACATCATAAAACCAGCTGTTTTGTGTGTATTTTCTAGCCAACTCGACAACAGAGCAACAGTGGCATGATATTATATTATAACTTGGTCATACTTTTAATCCAAAATGACTTCCAAGAGCATCAAGTTTTGCTTTTGTTAGCTGGCAATTTTTTGCAATGAGTTGGTCAACTTCATAGTTTGATAAAAGGTCACCAAGAGCATCAAAAGCTTCTTCGTCCATTGGGTTTCGACTGATATCAATGATGAATATCTGAAAGCATAAAGATAACGAACATCAGTAATGTGGTAAAGCCAAGTTTGAATGTGTTGTTGATTTTTCAGTATATATCACCTTACGCCTTGAATTGTTGAAAAACAGTGGGGAATAGATAATAAGACACAATTAAATACTACCAATATAACCATTTCAAAAACAAAAAGCCATTAGTAAACAATTGCCCCATATAAGATAGGCCGATTACAGACGGCTGGATTAGGCAATTATTTTGTTATCATATTCCAAGTCGCAATAAATATGTTACACACCTTTCCACCGACTTTCCATTTACTCAATTCCAATATTTGATCTTTAGTTGCTTTGAACTCTTTCCATGGGTCCATCAGAAGTTCTTTGACCTCATTTTCACTTGCAAACTTAGATATTGCAAGAAATAGATTGAATGTCATGCCGGTTATGGATCGAATATCCAGAGAGCAAATCTAGTAAAATGAATAGGATTATTGGGAGAAAACTTTGAAAATTTATGAAAATGAAAGATAGTATTTCATATCAATGCCTGTAGTATGGGGAAAATCATGACTCATAGAAGAATACATCTCAACTAACAAATTATGTCATAGGGGAGTGTTCATATTCCACATTTTTTATATAATATTCACAACTAAATTTTGAAATTTGCAACAAATAGAAGCAAGATTAAAAGTGACGTGCTGTTATACAATTTGCTAGTTCTATAAGTGACACCGTCAAGCTTCAGTTGGATCATGACAAAGCCTAGCTTGCCTATGGAGTCTAATACTCCGTACTTATTATGACACCCTGTAGTTTATTTTCAAACTTTGCCGTTCTTTTTTTGTGATCGAGTCTAATTAAGTGAATGTTTAGGTAATTTTTCGTGGTCATTGTGGCATTAGCAGCTTAAAGGCATTTTTTTTGTTGTTCCTTTTATATATATGATTGTGTCGAATTTAGTGACTAGTTAATATTGAGTTGTTCGGTTGCTATATTTGCTGCTTCAATGCAGCTACGAGGTGTCGCTGACTGGATTACTCTTTGAGTCTTTCGCGATCCCAGGTCTATTGCAACCAGCCGATATCCCTCTTCGTAATTTGTTATATGCCTTTTGTTTATTTTTTCATATCGTATATTGGTTTTGCATGACGAAAATAAAATCTGAATCTGAATCAGCTATATGGGTGCCATGTTTCCATTACAAAGAGAGTGCTTGAGTTTTTGATAGGTTTTTAACTTTTTATAAACAGAAGTTAACAAATAATACCAATAAAACCCATTTGCTTTAAATCGTTAACACTGAAAAGGAGTGAAGTTCAAAAAAGAAGAAGAGATCAATTCAATCTACTCTACACTGCCATCTAGTTTGGCAAGAATGCTGGATAGAAAATTACTACGGATATGCTTAACAGATTATTCAAAGATATATCAAGCAGCAATATTAAACAAACCTTTAATTCTGAGTGACTTCCAAGAGCGTCCAGTTTTTCTTTTGTGAGTTCGCAATTTTGCATGACAAGGTGAAGAACCTTATTATTTGTGGTTAATAAAGAACCGAGAGCATTGAATCCTTTTTCATCCATTGGGTTTTCATTGATATTAATCCTGGACAGCTGAAAACATATAAATGAAATTTAATCAGCAAATAGATTACATATCTGAATTCTCTCTCAAAGTTTTGTGACAGATACGATTAATAAAAACCGACATAAAAAAAACTATTTTTTTTAGCAGAAAGCATAAATATAGTGTATCAACTAGTTCAAATAAAATATAAGAGTCTAAGTTTCCACATCAACTAGTTCACTAGACCCCTTGTTTCACCATATCTCCCAGGAAAAATATGCAATTCCAATCCTATCCTAGTGAAGATCAGTCTCACCGAGAAAACTGAATGAAAAAATGAACCAAAAGAGTAGCTGACGAAATCCCAGTAGATAGATGAGAAAAAGATTTGATAGTAATTACAGTCAATAAACATATATTATTATCGCATAAAAGACCGATCATTAATGTAACACTTGATGGCACGTAAGTCTATTAATGCATTGTGGATAGGCAAGATGGCAAACACCTGACAGTAATAAAATCGAGATTCAGGAATGTCACTAAAACAAAATGATCTTCATCATACCTTCAATCGAGAATGGCTCCCAAAAGCATCAAGTTTGGTTTTTGTTAATTGGCAATTCTGCATGATGAGCTCATCAACTCCAACACTATTTGAAAGTGAACCAAGTGCATTAAAAGCTTCTTCATTTATAAAATTATGACTGACATCCAACTTTGCAATCTAATAATTACAAAAAAATTAAGCTTGGTAAACAACTTTGCAAACTACCACTTGGTAGTGAATGGTGATCTTGAATCGACCTAGTTAACTAAATTGGTCAGCTTTCAAATTAGCCAGGTTCCAATATGCAATATCACCAAGCCAACAGATATCTAAACATTTTATACTTCTTGAAGCTATTGAAAAAAAAAAGCAAATAACTAAAAATATTCTACCTACCGGTATATTAAACCTCAACTAATTATGTATATGGTTGAATAGTGCAGGGCCTCCCAAACTAAGGGCCACGAAACGAATTTTAGAGGACGCAAAGAGAACGGCAATTTTACACAAAATACTATATCTCTTGCACTTTTTCAGACCCTTGATTCGTAATACAATTGTTGAAAATAATGTAAAACAAAAAACCCCACAATATCGAGTGAATTCATCATCATACCGTGTTTCCCCGAAAATGAGACACTGTCTTCAATTATCTTTTGAAAAATAACACTATAGGGCTTATTTTGGGGGGATCTTTTATTAACATTTTTCAAAAACAAAATTACAAAGTAGAGAATTACAAGATTTTTAAATATATACAAAATATGAAAACCAATTTCCATTTTCTTATAAATGATACGTTTACATTTAAAATAATTGCTAAACATAGATTATTAACCATTCAAAAGTAGTAGGAAAGATTTCTTGCCAATGACTAGGTCAAAAATAAAAAGGCGCTATCGACTAAGTATTATGATAAGGGTGGGGCTTATATCAAAAATATTTTTGAAATTCAGGCTACGTCGTATTTTTATGGAAACCCGGTAGAATCGTCGCACTTACAAAACAATGCCTATATGCTGTACTGATCAAAAGACACAATTTGCTTGCACAACAATGTCGGCTCTAATTGTTATGCCATCGGTTTCCGAAGGCGATTTGCTAAGTGCGTCTCTTAAGTATTAACTGATATATATGGTTGTTTTACACATTTAATTTATTTTAAATGTTTTTTTTTTGTTCCTCATTATTGTAAATGATGTGTATTATAGATGTCCCAATACCACTTTTGTCACCGATAACGATCCAATACCATCTAAAAACGCCGATACCAATACACCGATATTACAAAAAGGCCAATATTCCAATACCGATACTATGTAATAATTACTTTAATCAAGTGTGCTGTGTAGAGCAGACGGGTTAAACAATGGTCTTTGAGCATTATTCAAAGTACACATTATTTCAGATTGAAAAAGAGATATATGACATAATATGAGATGTTTGGCTTGGTATTCAGATGCATTAATTGATTCAGATACATTGTGCACTGAAGCTAGTATTCTCGGTGTCCAATCTTATAGGCCGAGATATTCAATTCCAATTTAATCCAAATATCGCGACCTTCGAATACTGTTTTTGTGTTTGAAAGAATATTAAATATCGCCCACGCATTCTAGCGCCGCCGTCCTACATTTTAATTGAAAACATTTTACAAATATTTCATTTTGTGTGTAATCGTAGAGGCAATAAATAACAGCCAATATAAAAGGATATCAATCAGCAATGACTAGAAGAAGGTCCTATAATACACCGAGGATGTTTCTTATATTATAATTTCATAATATTTTACAATTACTTCGCATATTCTGAAACAGTTTAGGCGGCAACGTCAGTGAATCAATAAAGAAATTGTGTAGTTAGACCAAATTAAAATTGATGAAATTACAATATTGTGTCTGAATTTAGTTTAACGTTGTTCGTTGTCCATGGATTGAATGACACTCACGTTTGACGATAAACAGTCAGAACTTATAGCCGTGCCAAAAAGTTCATGTACTGTAAAAAAGAACCCCAATTCCCTTGTATGGTTTAAAAGTTTGGAAAGCCCTATGATCTAGCAATTTTCCCTAAATCATTACTGGCATTATCGCAAATGCTGAATAGCTAACTTCTGATATAACTTTGCAGTTTGTTTATTCGAAGATAGATCAAGCAGCAATAAATAACAAAACCTGTAATCCAAAGTGACTTCCAAGAACATCCAGTTTTTTTTTCGTGAGTTGGCAATTTTGCAGGACAAGGTCAAGAACTTTTATATTTGTTGTTAAAGCAGAACCAAGAGCATTAAAGCCTTTTTCATCCATCGGGTTTTCACTGATATCAAACCTGGATAACTGAAACACATAAATAAATGGTTTTTAAGTATGAATAAGAGTACATATCTCAATCCTATCCAAAAGTTTTGTAACAGATATGACTGATGAAGACGGGCTTCTGGCTCATGAAGAAAAGTAAATTATTGGACAAACGTGTATGTTAGTATAAAAAGAGACTTTACTATCCAATTCTACCAATATCAAACATTATAAGTCGGCTCTTTTGTGTGTATTTGTCAACCAACTTAACAACAGAGTAACAGTGGCATAATAAAATATTATAGGTTTGTCATACTTTTAATCCAGAATGACTTCCAAGAGCATCAAGTTTTGCTTTTGTTAGTTGGCAATTTTTTGCAATGAGTTGGTCAACTTCATAGTTTGATAAAAGGTCACCAAGAGCATCAAAAGCTTCTTCATCCATTGGGTTTTGACTGATATCAATGGTGGATATCTGGAAGTATAAGGATAATACAACATCAGTGCACCAAAGGCATCAGTGGTATTCAGGCAAGGTTGAATGTTTGAAGGCTGGTGATTACTAACACAAGAACAGTGAATTCAGAACCCCTAACACAGGTCATTGATTTTCCAATATATATCAACATATTGCATCAAAATGTCATAAAACAGTAAAAAAGAAATGATAAGACTCAATTATATGCCATCCATATAAACCTCTCAAAAACAAAACTATCAGTAGATATCAATATGGATAACAACACAGAAAAATGCCTGTGATCTAGCTCACACCTCATGCTACCATAAGTAAAATATCACCAGTAAGAAATAGTGCAAAATGAGCAAGGGGGCTCCACGCAATTAGTTGTGATTGGTTGTGATGTGGAGAAAGGATGTAATTATGGTGGACTATCTTTACAATAAATTTTATGATATAATACAGACCTTCCCACAAGATTTGTATTCACACAATTTCTTTATCTGCTCTTTATTTGCTTTGGAGAAATCCAACGAATCCATTAGAATTTTTTTGACTCCACTTTGACTTGCAAACTCAGATATTGTAAGACATAGATCAGATGGCATTCGGCTGATGGATTGAACATCCAGAACATTGATCTGAAAATTATTGCATCTGTTGATAAACTACAAGTGTAAAGGTTCCTAGAATATGGAAATTTATGGGTATCATATTTTTCCCAGACCGACCAGATATTATTAAGAATAGCCAATAGCGATATTGCAGTAGGTTATGAAGTTGACTGCAAATGCACATGTTATTAATGTTTACATTTGATATGATACCAGTATGCACATATGAACATACAAAATAGCAAACAACTGCTGGCCCCCACTTGCAACCATTCAATCAGTACTATTTTCAATTTTAGTTAAGAGCCCGGGACCTTGCTTCGAGCAAACACTTTCACCACTTACTAATATAGTCGACTTTTTAGCTGATGACTTTATTGTAACTTTAAAGTATTAATAGTCTTGCTATACTAACTCAATTGTGTTTAACGTAACTTGCGATTGCAGTCATTTATAACAAAATAAAAGCACTACCACTCGAATATAACTATTCCAAAGGTTTTGGACTTAGTTTACCTTTCCACAAACTTTCCATTTACTCAGTTCCAACATCTGCTCTTCGCTTGCCTTGAAGAAATCCCACGGATCCATCAGAAGTTCTTTGACATCATGTTCAGATGCGAACTTGACAATTGCAAGATACAGATCAAACGTCATGTTTGTGATATTTCCAACATCCAGAACGCGAATCTGAAATATAAAATACCTTTGTTAGGTGGATAAATATCTAATTCCTCATAGTAACTAGACAAATTAAATATAATTTTGAAGATCTTTTCTAGCGAATAATAAATTGTTAATAAAGTTTGCATAATTTATCAAATATAAATAAAAAAACAGAGCAAACTTACTAACAAAATAAAAACCAAGGATTAAGGAATTGGAATAATGAACCATCTTAAAATTTATATTTCGACCTGTAAATGGGAATGTCTTCCAAGCACACGAAACTTTTCTTCTGTAAGTGAGCAGCCACGCATAACGAGTTTTTCCACTTCAATGTTTGTTAAAACTGAACCAAAGATATCAAAAGCTTCAACGGACATCGGATTTAAGCTGATATCAAATTCTGACACCTGTTAGTATGCAATACAAATTAATATCAGAAGTATAAAATAAAGTTAAGATATGTTCGTATAACTGTGATAATTCTAATATTTTAAGGTAATCGACTAAATATACAGTAGTTTGACAGATTGGAGATACATTTTTTATCTCATGATGTGAAATTATGTGTATTCTTTGTATTATTTTCCTCAACGATAATATGTAAATTAGGTTTTTTACTAAACACTTGCCTTCACTATAGAACCTTTCAAGTTGAACTCGAAGTTTTTCATTAATTCTGCATTGAGCTCACAATTGACGAGGCGAACTTGTTCAAGATGGCCACATCGTCGCATGACACATGACATTGCACACATTCCTGCTGCAGTGAAAGACTCATTTTCAAAGTTGATTTCTTGAACATGGGATCTAATGAGCTCGGCATCATTGGCTTCATATAACGCACCAAACAACTCCAACTTCTGATAGGATTTCGTACATTGATTTATCTTAGTTGTGAGTGCATGTTTGAGACAATTTTGCTTTTCTAGTCCAGTCTCTGACCAAAAAAAAATTCAAAATATTTAGAAGCAGGTTTTACACATTTCTCATTGGGGAAATAACACCTATAAAATGACTCATTCATGTCACAAACCCCGGCACCCCGTTCGACTACCAATACAACGGTTATATTAAATAGTTACTTTCTATTTGTGGTAGATGTTGCATTAACCACTTAGCCATCTCGAATGCGGTAGGGTGGGTAGCTATGGCAAAATTATTCCTAGCTCTTGGCGCAATACGATAATATTTGATTTATTCAATAATTGTAACGTCCTGATTGCACTTACCGGTTGTAAGATCTTTGATGAATTGAGCTTTAATTTTTTGATCGAAAACAGTTCCACACAGGAGCCGTAGAACAACGGACCAGTGATCTTTGAGAATCTCGCTAGTGACGAATGCTTGGAAAGTTGCGAGATCCATGTTGGCGATGTACAGAGCAGCTAACATTTCTTGAAGGATTTGATGACTAAAGAACATCAGAGTGTCACCTTCCAAAAGATGTTGATTAAGTAGTGAGCTGCCTCCAGGTATTTCTATGATGAGATCACGTACCATTTCTTTTGTAAGTCCTGCGTTTTTTAGATCGGTATTGTTGAAAATAACTCGCTTTTCTCGAGTGGCTTCAAATGACATTTTCATCAAATTGTGAAGAATTATTTCTATGGATTTTTTCTCCTGAGTGTGTGAGGAACGCATGAAAATATGAAGTACTTTTGTCATTACATCAGTCATGGTATTTGGCAGATTCTCTGGGTTGGATTTATGAACGATTGCATTGAAAATCAAGAATAAAGGGACAGAAGACAATGGCACGAGTGCAGGTGACTGAAACGTCATCTTCTTCCAGGATTCTTCCCCTGTTTCACCTACAACAGCAGTGAATAGTTTTTTGGTGTCATCACGTTCAAGGCCAGCAAGAGCAATAATTAATGGGGGTCGTAGCTTCAGGGGAAGGGATGCCATCCTGTGTTCGCGTGAAGAAATAACTAATGTTACATCGGGAAACAAATTGCCTGATAAGATATTAAACATGATTGTGGCTGTACTAGATCTATCAGTATATGTCATCTTATTGTAATTTCCCTCTAGATTCCATATAGCCTGATCCAGGCCATCAATAAATAAAATTGCTTCTGATTGGTGTAGCTGAAGCCATTCATATCCCGCTCTTACAGTTTGATCTGATAGATTGGGTGCAAAGTTTCCAAAAAGCAGAGTACATGGAGTTAAGGCTTCTTCTGGTGTTAAACCATAAGAAACAAGGAGGTCTCTGAAATTCAAGTGATGAACAAATTTGAATCCATTTTTCTGTTTCCTGAACAACCGAGCGAACAATCCCATTTTTGCTTTAGATTCGTTATCCAGTTCATTAGCGACAAGAACGCCTCGTGCAGTACGTTTCATCATTGTTGACTTGCCCCCTCCAGCTTGTCCCACTAGTCCTACGCATCGGCAACCTTCCCCGCAGAGCTGTTGGACTAGTTCATTGGGTGAGATCACTTCGCCAATGTTTTCGTTCGCCTGTGTGACAGCGAACTCTTTTTCCTTCCTGTACTCTGTGACATCAGGTGCCATCTGTCCCCTGTAAAAACCAGTCACTTTGTTTAATTTGGGATTGACCTCAAATTCAGGTTCTTCCAAGTTTTGATCTTTGTAGCTTTCTGTAACATTGACTGTTGTTTGCTTCCATGTTCTCCAATTGAAATAATCAATGAAGCTTCTCACGCCTTAATAGAAGATTTCTATCAAAATTTTGGTTAGAAAGAGACTTTAGGTTAGATATTAAAAGGATAGTATTTACATATGGGATAGGTTTTACATATTTATGCTGAGGGGGGGAGAAGGGAAAATCTATAGGACAGCTTATCCATATGGCGAACCACAGGCTATCGTCTGGTTACCAGTCAATATCGGGTATGGATTTAGATAGCCGGTTATTTGTTTTGGATGCATGGACTTGATGGTGGAGGAAGCCACAACCGACCCGTGGTCACATGAACCATCCTACAGCTAATAGTTTTAGTTTAGTCACAGTAATTCAAAATTAGTCCAAAATAGCTGTGATATACTTGAATAAGAGCCAGTGCTCTTGATAAGAAAAAGGTCAATTATCTCAGATTTCAGATTTATGAAACACGTAAACCAATTTTGCAATCGTCAACGAGCAAAAACATTCAAAATGGGAGTCAGACATTTTTTCATGTGTAAGGAAAAGGAGAGTTTTCTAGGGTTAAAGGTCGGGAAACATCCATTAAAATACAAAAGTTTCAAAGCTTTGTCAAATTACGAAAAATAGCCCCGCGTTTGGTTTCCAGTCCATGTCAGGAATGGAAATAATGGACACATTATTTGTTTTAGATGCATGAACTTAGTGGTGGAATAATAATCACCCAGCAGTTAAGTTAATCATTCGGCTTGTTTATAAGAAATACTATTTTTTGGGTAAGCTACTTTCAAAGGATGTGTACCAGGTTAGGGTCAGTCATAATTTTATTCTGATTTTCCTTATTTAAGTTCTATTACGAGTTTGGAACTGTCTGTGTTAGCCAAGTGAATATACCCCCATAGGTTTCAGTCCATTTACACAATTTGATGCAAGTTAAGCAAACAAAATTAGTTACAGCCAAATTGGTACACATACTTCTGGAGCGTCTTTTTTGTTTAATAATGATTTTTATATTAAATTAAAGGTGTTCACCTCCAAATAATTTCTTAGTAACTTGCTGGAAGAAGCCTGAAAAAAAGCATATGTCGGACGTCAGTGTAATGATAGATTTACAATAGTTTGTAGAGGCAAAACTATGAAAATTTGTTTAGTATTGACTTTTTTAGATCCAAGCCATGTGAAGATGGTGTATAAATGAATGTTACTTGTTCTAACCATTGAAATTTCAACTTTCATAAGATTGGGAGACGGTTACATAGAAGAGTTGCGTTTGAGTTGAGATAAATATTCTCGTTATGCAAAAGTTGAATTGAAGTGAAAAACAAATAAATTAATAGAATATGACGCATAAATATTTTAACAGCTATATGTTACACTTGTTAGTTTATCTTGATCTTGTAGACCCAATTAAAGAGTGGTTAGTAAAAGGTTTGTTGCTCCTAGCAAGATTGGACATTTTGGCCAAAACAAACCTGGTGGATTCCCTTTATACACAGGAGCAATTGCTGGGCCCGTTTCTGGCAATGGCTGAACCGGTGTTCCAGTTGGGACTGATGGTGTGGAAGGATGTGAAGGGGCTGCATCTTCAGAGAAATGAAATATTTGTTGACAAAAGTTGAAACATCTCACCATATAGTTAGAATTGTCAAAATACAGTTTTTGACTAAACCAGTTTGGGCTATGTTAGTAGTAGTCAGCTAGTAACAAAAGAACAGCTTAACAAAATCTGTGTCACAATATTTCAAGCTATCAAATTGGAGTCAATCCCCAGTCAAGATCTAACACTTTGTAATCAAATTCAGTAGGCTAAGGGCTTGAGTAGTTTATTTTTTTTGGTCAAGTTTGATTAAATTTGATTACCTGTATGATCTATGTTGATGTTGACGTTGCCATAAAAATTTGCAATTGCTACTCGCCCTTTAACTATCGCTGCTTCAGCTGAAAAAATTACACGGAGAGTCTCTGAGTATAATTTAAAATTAAATATAAGGTAGACTTTGATGGTCATGATATTGTGTAAACAAAAATAATTAAAGTGATTTGAAACGAATATGTAGATTAAACATTTCAACAATTTACAAACAATGCAATTATAAAGTGCTTACCTGCGATCATGTTAACATTTGATGAAGCAATATCAGCCTTCATATTTTTTTCTGCTTGAAATAATACTGCAGAACCTGAATTGAAGATTGATAATCTCGTAACTTAAAATATTATGATAGTAAAAAAGCAGATCATATCTTGTGACTATGAACACCTGATCGAGAAAGTCATTTAATTTTTTATAATGATAAAGAAATATTACAAAGAATATTAACTATCAATATACCCACCTGCCACAAGCAATTCTTGATTTCTAACTTGTAGGTCAACACTGCTTCGATCTGCGCTCTCTGAAGATGATGTAGAAGCTAATATTGAGAAAGAAAGAAATTTACATATTTCAGCACATATTTGGTCATCACAACTATGCCACAACAAACAGAAAACAAATATCAGAGGACTAGGACTTAGAGAAATATAGAAAATATGAACAATATGTTGTCAACAATACAATATGTTTCAGCACAATTGCATAAACATAGTTTAAAATGCGCAATAATTTTTTTCCAGTACGTATGAGACTAACTTTTTGCTCAAATTTTTCATCTTAGAAATATTATGCTGATGGGATACTTCAATAGCACCTAGCTAATGAATTGTAAATGTTTCCAGTGAGTGGGGATGTGGAAGACAGTTTAAGATAAAGTAAGAACAGAGGCTGTTCAGGGGAACGATAGATGCCACGCACATCATTGCGCCAGACGAATCACAGGAATTCTTACTGTGCAGTGCTCCAGACCTCATTGGGTCGGTGGAATAGCACATCATGAACTTATGGAAGTAAGTGATATCAATTTTAGGTTCGGTGATAACTTAACCATGGTGACATTGGTTTCTTGGTCGTGAACATACTGAAAAACTCATCCCGCAGTGGAAAAATATTTACCAACATATTCGTGACTTGTGACCGGGAGCTGCCCAGGGCAAGTTTCTGCTAGTGATTCCCATACCCATACTTTCAAATAACATGAGAATGAAGAAATTGAGGATATTATGCTTTTCAATTATTTTTTGCAATTTCTAAATCAAGTGCGCTTTCAGTATGGTCAGAAATTAATTTTGCCACTAATGAAAACATGTGATTTTGAGCACTCCAACCAAATTTTAAAACAACAAATTATAGAGTTAAAATTGATTTGAAAATTTGAATTTACAGCACAGTCTAAATTTCTAACCCCTAACTGGATAATAATAGTTTTATTATTTTGAGCACTGCCAATTTTTTTAGGGGGCCCTGTAGAAAAGATCCTGAATTAAGATTAAGTACTGAACATATGGTAGATATCATATTATATATCCACTGGGTGACAGAAAATATCATATCCATACTGTCGTAGTCAGCTTGTGAGGAATTTCACTGGTATAAAGTTTATATTCATGTTTTTTCGTGAAATAAAATAAGAGAGGATTTACACATTTAGCCTGGTTATTTATTTCAGATGCTTGGACCTGATGGTGGATGAAGTCATAACCAACCAGCGATTATGTAACCTCTCGCACAAAATTCCCCCACGAGATTCAAACCTGCGAACCCATGCAGAATAATCAGGTACCATGGCAGGTGTATTCCTGACACTTAGCACTGTGTTTCACACTGCCAACTCTTGAAAATCCTTTTGAATAAAAATAAAAACAAATAGTATACTACAAAGAGTTGGAGTGGTAGCGATGGTCACAGTGGGTGGGTGGAGAAAAAATGGCAAGAGTGAGGTAATCAATTCTCTTTTTCAAGGGAATGCATAACAACCTTTCCTGCGGCTCTTGTTAATGCTTTGAAAATAACTTGCTTCCACGGAAAATTTCTTATTGAAAACTAATCATTGACTTGAAATTAAAATGCGGAAGTCTATTGGTTAGTCCAGTGTTTCTCAAACTGTGTGCCGCGGCACACTAGTGTGTCGTGAGAGATTCTTAGGTGTGCCGCTGAGCTTTTTGAAATTTTAGATAACGAGCAATTTGTATTACACATTGTCAGGCAGACAACGGGCAAGCTTGTGAGACTTGTTTGGCCCGCAGTATCCATTTAGATAATTTGTATTGCATTTGCCTTGTTGGTATGGTGAGAGGGATCGTCACGTTAAAATGGTATTGGATTGTTATGCTATAATGTATTTGTGGACTTCCACCTTCCACAATGTTGACTTGCACGCTTAGTTAGACTAGTTTTGGCTATCTGCTTACAAATTCTATTCATTTATCAGTAGAAAGGTCATCAAAATAGTCGTGCTATTTGAATCTTTATGGCTTTGTGGACACAGATTTAAAGCAAAAAAGTAGCGACTTCTTGTAATTGACAAAGGAATGTGGTTGCGGTTAGCAGCGACGAAACTTTGCTTTAAATCTTAATTTTCATCAAAACAGGCACACGCATTGTATTAACATTTGCAGAATGAATTTGTTCAAAGCAATTTTTATTTTTTACAGGTGTGCCACAATTTTTTTTTATTTGATGGTCGAATGGATTCCCCCGTGTTTATTTGCGTAGCGTTGACTAATCTACAAGATGCAATAGTGACGCAACAGTAAGCGTTTTCGCAGTCCTTGGACACTTTTCACTTGGAAAGATTCTAGAAATGGCTGTAATCATTGGTTTACTTTCGTGGATTTTCAATTTTTGTTGCATTTCCGAATATTATGTATAAATCAAATAACTCGCTGATTATTTTAATTTCTAGAGCATTTTAATTTTGTTCCAGTAATCGAAAGTAGTCCCGAAATATCTGGCGATCATCTCAAGCAGCTACTGCACCTTGCATCCTCCACGATTATGACACGCTTTGACAAACTTATTAGAAATCAAAGCCAAATTAAATGGCTGTTAGTCTAGGGTGGGCAAAATCGATTCTTTTTTCGAATCGAATAATTTGAATATTTTTAACGAATAGTCGAATAAAGAGTATTTTTATACATAACAGGGCAAAAAAAATACATTTCCAGGCCTTTGTGCCTAATAGATGGTCAGACGCTAATTATAACTAATTCCTTCAAGTTTTAACGTTTTTTTTTCAACAAAACAACACCCGATGGTTATTATAGCTAAAATTTTTACTCAGTAAAGCTCAATTTTCTTTACGGAATTTGCAAATTCAGCAAATTTTGCAAAATGCTTCAAAATTTAACAATTGTCATCATTTTCGACGATAATAGACGCAACAATTCGTGAACGAGTCAGTGTGCATTGTTACAAAAAATTCACGATTGATTTTAGGTTCTACTCTTGCCTCAACGGCCATGCATGGTCGAGTGAAATGTTTACATATTCGAAACATTACTTAGCCAAGGATGGGAGGGATCACTAAAGAGCTAATACAAAGTGCTTTAAAGGGAGTAGGACATGACATTTCTTATCTGGTTACAACTTAATGAGTGTTTTTCATACAAATAACTCATTCCAGTTTCTGGAAAAATTTTGGTCATTTTTAAATCCATGCTATTTATATAACTGGAGTTTTCTAACGACCTAAAATTGCCTTTTTTCACAATGAAACGCCGAAAAGTTATTTTAACATTTAATTTTATTTAACTTTATGTTCGGTAATGCAAGAAATGGCCATGACATGTCACCAAGCATGCGGATTTTAAAATCTGGGAAATTTATTTCAAATACCTAATCTGGATTGACGTTTCTAAATTTACGAAACGGTCGGTACGTTTTTTTGCAAAATATGAAATTGAAACGATACATTGGGTGCAAAGATAAGCATATAACACCATAAAGAAGACAAGACCAAAGACAACAATTTTTCAAATTTTTTTTTTTTTTTTTTATAGCGAGCGCGGTTGGGAAATTTTCCACAATTCACGATTCAGTTCGTACCATGCAGGTCATGTGGTACCGGATATTCGAATAGTAAAATGCCATTCGAATATTTTATTATTCGATTCGTTATACGAATATTTTGCTAAGCCTTAGTTGTTACGTGTGTTGTTGTTACGATGACTTGATATTTTAAATACGCACTTAAGGTTTGTTGCTATTTTACCTTGCGTTGTTTGCGTACGGCTCTTCATAACTCTGAGGTTTGAAATGCGGCTCTGGGACTAAAAATGTTTTAGAACCACTGCTCTAAAGCATAGATTGATGACTTGTTGGGACAAAGAAACCATACGTGCCTCGTGCAGTCAAGTTCCAATTAGATTGAGGCGTGTAGTGAAGGCAAAAGGAGGATATATCGAAAAATGACAACAATTCTATTATTTATCTTTATACTGCTATTTTCTGCAAAATATTTTCTTTCTTGCTTACATTTATATTGTAGATATTTTAATTAACATTTGTCTACACTTGGTCTGATCACCCTGTATAATTTATCACTTTCATGACATGCAGACCATTGTCTGTGTGGCAAAGAATGCTCAAAGACTTGTGAAATATCTGTCATGTCAAATACCTAGCGTAGACAACGTGGAGTTCTATTCTTGTATTTTGACCACTCATCGGCAACAAATGTTTGCAGAGCAATTGAAACAACTTTCATGCATTCCGATATACAGTTATGTGTAAAAATTGTGAACCTATATCATTGCATACCATCTAACATGCTATGCATAAAGCAAACTTGATATATCATTCTGAGTTGTGCTTGTAAATTTTGATTTGTCTAAATTTCTAGTCAGGTCACTCAGGTCAGCTGAGTCAATGCCCAGTCGAATCAGTGTACAACAATATTCTGTAAACAACAGAGGTATTTCATACACTATGTTGACACGAATAGATAAAGGCTAGACTGATATTGAAGTCGCAGGGAAAGTTACAGAATAACATTTGTTCAAGCATTAACTGGAGTTAGTTTAATAACAGTGTCACTGCAATGATAATAAATATCAAAATGAAACTACAGACAAACGAGGTACATCATAAAAGCCCATTTTGTGGCTCAAAATATGAGTTATATTAATATCGGCATATTGGTATCAGCCACTAGTTGGCCGTATATCGATATCGGTATCGACGTCAAAAAGTGATATCGGTCGAGCTCTACTAATAAGTACCTCAATAATCAATACTCAATAATCTGTACTTTACTTGCTCACAAGCAGCCTCTAGTGATTTCTACTAACCTCACAATGAGGTCAGCTCCCTTTATTATGAAATAGAGTGTATATTTTGAAATTACCAATCAAAAATGAGGAAATTCCAAAGTTGTCATGACAACAATGTTATTATATCTATATTCCTTAACCACTGTCTATCAATCATTGGTTGATTTTTAGAGGGAAAAAAAAGTACATGACTTAGTGAAGGCATACATCCATCACACTTGAGCATACATATAACGTAAATCAAACTGACCAATCAAAATCAAGA